TATATATATATATTATATATATAAACCCTTATAACATCAGCATGATTCAGTATAACATCCCAAACAAAGCCTAAATGAATGTATGTATGGTCCTTTATATAGAGGCTAGACTAAGTGCTCATAATAATTACTTTGGTCTTTTCTAATTGTTTTAATTCCTAAATTTTATATAAATTTACTTAATAATTTTATATAACAAATAAATAATAATTAAAAAATTTATAAAAAAAACTCAATAACAATGTATAGAAAAAAAATTTTAATTGTTATTTATTTACAATATATAAATTAAAAAACTATGTATAAAAAGAAAAAAAAATTTCAATCTAAAAAATACTCAATAAGAATTATGTATAAAAATTAAAAATTTTATATACTAATTTCAATTGAATTTTTTTAGTTTAAGTTAAATTGAATTACGTGTAGATATATTGTTTCGTCTATATTACTAAAAAATTGAAACGGACTTGAATGGATTGTGCTTCTCTTCTTAAAAAATTGCTTGCAATCTTTAGAAGAGTTTGAACGGTTAGAATTAATGCCTATTTTTTTGAAAATAGGTAATGAAGAATTAATGCCTATTTGATTTTAAATAATATGTTTTGTGAGAAAATAATAGTATTTTGTATTACTTCAAAATAGTATTTAGTATTTTTTAATTTTACTAAAATAATATTGGGGATATTATTGGTAAAGTCTAGTTATCCATTTACGATTTGAAATGACGCCTGTCAAGTGATTTTTTTTTTTTTGACAGGTAATTATTAGAAAGTTAGTAGAGTTAATTGTTAACAATTGAGATTTTTCAGACTGGTGAACATTTCACCCCCTCGTGTGAGGCGCGCAACCATTAGGTCGCAAGTTGATGGAGTTCACGATGATGGCAGAGATCGAAGCTCTGAACTCCGCCTCACCCAAGCTCTACGGCTCGAGGGCCAACCACTTAACCTCAGGCCCGGTTGACTTGTTAAGTGATTTAAATCAGTTAAATTAATTAACGATTTAAATAATTAAGTGATTATTTATTTTTATTAAAAGTAAAAATTTTTTTTTCAAATTATATGATACGGTGAATAAAGTAAAATAAAAAATAAAAAATAATTAACTTTTATTGGGCAACTAAAAAAAATCAATCAAACTAATAAAATTCCTCATTTCTTAAATTTCTCAATATTCTAACATTAAAAAGTCATCTAGCATGTGCATGTTTGTGTACCTATATATACATATACTGATATACATATACAGACACACATATATATGAAACAAACGTCGTCGATCACCAGCTAGATCCCGCCATTCGTCATTAATTCCCTTGCTTCTCTTTCTCACAGAAGAACAATGAAAAGGAGAGATGCAAGAACACCTAGTCATCATCGTCGGAGCCGGCCCTCCGGCCTCGCCACCGCCGCCTGCCTAAACCGCCACTCAATACCTTACATACTCCTCGAAAGAGAAGACCGCTTTGCCCCTCTCTGGAAGAAAATACTCCATCTCCACTTAACTAAACAATTCTGCAATCTCCCCCTCATGCCATTTCTGGCTTCTTTTCCGACATAAGTTTCGAAATACCAATCCATAGAATACCTTAACAGCTACATCTCTCACTTCAACATCGGTCCTCTGTACCGGAGATGGATTGAGGAGGCCAGCTTGGATGAGGGGAGCAAAAAATGGATGGTGAAGGCCAGGAACCTAATTTCCGACTAGGTGGGGAAATACTCAGGGAGGTTTCTAGTCGTGTCAACTGGAGAATCAAGCAATCCTTACACCTCAGAGATTGAAGGACTTGATAGACTTTCCCTGGAAATCTCTTCCACTCGACTCGGTATGAGAACAGAAAAGAGTATAGAGATAAGAACGTTGTGGTTGTTGGTTCTGGCAATTCTGGCATGGACATTGCAGTGGACCTAGCAAATTACGGTGCCAAAACTTCATTGTTGTTCGCAGTCCGGCAGAACTTGATCGATGTAATGATATATATATATATATATTTCATGCATTAATGTTTACTAACTTTCATTTATGTGATTTATGTCAAAATGCATATTAAATAATTAATAATTATTTTGTTCAAAGCACTATATAGCAATGTGTGACATGTAGTTAAAAATTAAAATCACTTACGTACTTAATCACGTCAATAAATGTATCTTGTTAAAAATATGTTTTCTAATGGTAGTGATTTATAATAATTTTATTTTTTAAATTTGGTTTTGAGGTGATTTATTAAATAGTAACGTGTGATGGTGATGAATGGAATTATGATGTAGATTCATATTCTGTCAAGGCAAATGGTCTGCATTGGATTGGCAATGCGGTACCATTTTTCAGCTAGCTTCGCCGATGCAAGGATTGTTACCCTTAGCAAATTATTTTATGGGGACCTCACCAAGTACGGAATTAGCTAGAAGGCCTAAAGAGTAAAGAATGTCCATTTTCCAGGAAAATTGCATGTGGCAAGCAGGGGTGGAGCCAAAATTTTTTTTTAGGAAAAACGAGATAATATTTTATATACTAATTTATAAAATTTTTAAATTTTAAAGAAGACAAAATAATTTTTATATATACTAATTTGTAAGGATTTTCAAATATCAGGGGGCTAGCGCCCCTCGTCCCCCCCCCTCCCTCCCTCCGCCACTGGTGTCAAGTATCCAAAATACTGATGTGGGTACTGTTAGGAACATCTAAGTCCGGGGAGATCCCTCCCTCCCTCCCTCCGCCACTGGTGTCAAGTATCCAAAATACTGATGTGGGTACTGTTAGGAACATCTAAGTCCGGGGAGATTTAGGTAAGAAACAAGAAAGAGGAACATATATAGTTGCACTTTTTCTCTTCTTTCCTTTCTTATGTAGTTTGACTTCTGTAGGATTGAAGAGAGAAAAGTGAGAGTCGAAGAATCATAGACTAAATTAATTAATTATTAGATTTGTATTGCCCATTAAAAATAATTATCAGCTATTAATTTTAATTGAATCATTTAAAATATTTAGATTATAATAAACAACATCAATTATTAGATATTAGATGTTGATTATATATATATATATATATATTAACTCTCATCTACATACATTTATACAGCTAATTCAAATACCTCTAAATTTGTATCTTTTTTTCTGTTTTCTTTTTTCTTTTTTTCTTTTTTTTTTTCTTTTCGCCTTCCACAACTGCTATAGTAAGGTTGCTTAGCTATAGCCTATTGGTTTGCATTCGTCAAGGGTCAAGCTCCTAAATTGGCTTAATGGCTTGCCTAACTTGGGCTTTCAATTTGTGGGATACGATATACTTCCAATGCCTTTTATTGGTGTTTGGTAAGGGGCACAAAGTCCCTGATGGAAAATTCATTTATCAGTCAACCAACCTGATGGATGCAATTAAAGATTCAAACCCTCAAATTTTTGAAGGTTTTCGACGTGCATGTAATTAATGATCATTTTCCTATTAGTTATTGTATGTGCAATTGCTTTTAATGTGAGTGGGTCTTGCCAGCAATATCAAGCATAAGAGGCAATGGGGTGATATTTGAGAATGGGCATACTTATCCCTTTGACACAATAGTTTTTGCACTGGCTTCAAGAGGTATACATGTAAATGGCTTAAGCTAACATTCATTAATCTCTCATTTAAAAAGAAAGAAAAATCTATCTCTCGGTGTCAACATGACTGTTTTATCACTGAACTGAGCAGGGGAATGACGATCTACTCCAAGAAGATGAGACTGCAAAGAGCAGTTTCCCTGCCGACAATTGGAGAGGAAAGAATGGGTTATATACTGCGCAGGATTGTCAGGGTAGGGCTTTATATGTGGTGCAAATATCGATGCGCACAAAATAGCTGATGAGATTAAATTGCTTCTATGATGGTAAAATAGGGAAATGCTTTCATTTATATACCATATACCATTTCTTTGTTTTCTCTGTAATATGGTGGAAGGTTGTAGTCCTCGGGAATTGAAATTTATAAATTTTAGATATTGTGTGCTAGCTAGGCTTTTGTCGATAATGGTGAGAGATGCATTGATGTGAGAAAATTAAGTTGAAATAAATAAACACTGTATTGTATTTTTAGTTGATTTGAATGCGGAATAATTCAACAGTATGAGAGATGCATTGATGTGAGAAAATTAAGCTGAAATAAATAAACACTGTATTGTATTTTCAGTTGATTTGAATGCATAATAATTCAACCGTATATGAGGAATATTGTGTAAAATATACTTATATATATCCTTGTAGGTTATTTCATTTATAAACAATTTTTATTAAGACATTAATTAGTACATCTTTTGATTCAATATATTATATAATATATTTATTAAAAAAATATTTTTTTAATTTAAAATGAAAATAAATAAATTTAAATATACAATCATACATACAATATATAAAAATTAATTGAATTGAATGTAATTATATTATATTTTAATAATGAAATTGAATAAATGTTGAAAAGTGTGATGCAATAATCATTTTCCTTCTTACTTACACATGATGAAAAACACAACTGCTTCCATAAGAAGAAAAATGAAATGCAACTGCATATTTATGGTTAATGTCTCACGATTTGCTATAAGAGTAGAATTGAACCTTGTACCTACGCTACAAGAATTCGCAACAATGGTACTTAATCTACAAAAGAGTTGGATATCCTAATAATGGTAGAAAATTAATTTATTAATAAATAAGTATTATCTTATAAATATACCTTTTGATGTTCTAATTTTGGGGTTCATATCCTAAAAAACTAATCGAATTAAGGAGAACATCTTTAAAATAAATTGAGAGAGTAATTAGTCTCGAAATAATCACCAGAACAGGTCTATTACGATAAAACGAAATGAAATTGGGCTAGGCCCGCATAACAAAGAATAAAAGCAACATT